TTTCTTCATATAATTCATATATAGGAGTAGGACCGGATAAGAGACAAACGTTAACCAGTGCTAGCTCTTTGTTGTTTGCAAATAAATTGCAGGGCAGCAGTAACGGAGGAAAAAGCTGGGTTAAGACGGTTCAGAAGGAGTGGAAAATACTCGAGGATAGCTTACCAGGTTGGCCTCTCTCTTGTAACCTATTGTTCCATGTAATTAACGTCCATGCATATAAATGCCCCAAGTAATAATGAACTGGCCTTGGCATCGACGATCTACATATTATGCATGCTTGCAGATACCATCTACGTGCGGGCATACGAGGACCGGATGGACCTGCTCCGGGCGGCCATGGTGGGCGCCAGCGGGACGCCGTACCAGCATGGGCTCTTCTTCTTCGACCTGCAGCTGCCGCCCTCCTACCCCGCCGTGCCACCCCAGGTGTATTATCGCTCCTTCGGCCTCCGCCTGAACCCAAACCTATACCCCTCCGGCACAGTGTGCCTCAGTCTGCTAAACACCTTCGGCGGCGAGGGCACCGAGGTCTGGTCGCCGGGGACGTCAAGCATCCTCCAGGTTGTCGTCTCCCTCCAGGCGCTCGTCCTCAACGGCCAGCCTTACTACAACGAGGCCGGCCACGAGACACTGGTCGACACGCCGGAGGGCCGCCGCAATGCACTGCCCTACAGCGAGAATGCCTTTCTGCTTACTCTCCGAACCGCGCTGCACCTGCTTCGTCAGCCGCCGCGAGGCTTCGAAGGGTTCGTCGCGGACCACTTCCGCCAGCGGGGGAGGCACGTGCTCATGGCGTGCGACGCGTACCTGCGGGGATGCATTCATGCCGATGAAGGGGCCATGGAGCTGCCTTGCTCCACTGGCTTCAGGATCGCGCTTGCCAACTTGGTGCCGAGACTCGTGGCCGCCTTCACAAACATGGGCACTCAAGGGTAGCATTTACAAACTACGTATATGTATCATTGTTTTATTATTGATTTATCTCTAGAAGATGCGGTCTTTGACGAGGAAGACTAGAACATGAAAGACGGACTGGCCCACTTGGGACACAATGCCCTACCGCCTCCCATGACCTACACATCCTCGGAGGAGTCCGTGGCATGTGTGTAGCCGGCGCCGGTGGACGTGAGGTTGATGATGGACGTGGACGGTCCGTCACAGTCCACCTGCCACCTCCAGTCCTCCACCCTCGAAAGTTGGACGGGGACGCATAGGACGCACAGCTGACGCTCTGCGTTGTGAGCGGCGCGTTGAGCGTGTGCTCCCTCATAGAGCGTCGGCTGCTCTGCAATGAAGTTCGGGTTCGCGGCGGCCATGGCGGCCCCGACCGCCTTGATTACGAGCTCGTGGTAGACTCGACCCTTCGTCAGCCGGTGCTACTCGAGGAGGAACATGTTTTACCTCTGCTTCTCTTGCACCTGCCGGAACGCCAACATATATAGGAGTCGGAGCAGGCTGCTCCTCCTCCGCCACGACGGCGTCGTTGTGCGCCTGCGCTTACTCCATGGGCGTAAATATCTAGTGCTAGGGGAGCACCTCACATAAGGTGCTCCCAAAATTCAAAATGCACATTTAAATATTTCAAAAAAAATCCAAAAACAATTGTGGATGTTAGCATCACATAAATGTACATTCCCTAAAAATTTCAAATCATAATTCAAAATACACATGGAGAAGCAAAAAAGACAAATCCAGCATGAATGTTTTGTAGAAAATTCCCCGACATTCCCGAAATGACACTTTGGTCCACATCCCATGATTTTTCCTATTCAATCTCAGATCGACGGCCGAGGTCACGTAGGAGCACCTAATGTGAGGTGCTCCAGTGACACGAGATATTCTCCCTAGTCCATGGTTAGCTCGACATACACCAGCGCGGGGTTTGGTGTTGTGTCGTCATCGGAGCCCGTACACTACTGATAAAGGGCTTATAGGTGAACCAAAATGAGTGTGGGCGAGGCGAGGAACCCGCCACAGCAAAAACTGCCCACCAATACTAATAGTGTAGCTGTGGCAGGCAGAACTCATGAGCAGCCATAGGTATAATCTCCCGGACGGGACTTGTTTGCATAACTCAGCAGTGACGGGCTCTACCTAGCACCTGCCACAGGTAGATGACCAAGCAATGGCGAACGGTGACTAGCATCCGCCACTAGCTATCTTTGCCGGATGTCCAGTTTTGGTAGAACATAGCTGTGGCGGGTCCTATTCACCGCTCGCGAATGGTAGGTTAAACAATAGTGGCGGGCAGTATTTTATGCTCGCCACAAAATATTTTCCCACGCGGGGATGTTGTCCACGTCACTTAGCAGTGGCGGGCCCTTACTAGCGCCCGCCAGTGATAAGATCGTGTGTAATGCTTGCTCCTGGTTGAGTATAGCTTCCCCTCCCCAATTTCTTCTTCCTCTCCCACAATGCCCTCTTCTTCTTTCTCTTACTCCTCTCATCATTGGTCATTCACCACATCTCTCTCTTCTTAATTTCATCTGATCGATCAGACACGACACCGGAGAGAGACAAGTAGACACGTTTTAGGTGATAATTCTTTTCTAAATTGTACCTCTCCATATATATGCTTAAATATGAGTAGTATGTACCATTGTATGAGCATGCATGCGTAGTTGGTTGTTGGTGTGGCGCGGTGGACGTGTTGGACGATTCAACATTCGGTTGATCGCATGCTTTTGTTGAAATTTTTCAGGGAATACAAAGTGCCTAATCTCGTCGAAATGTTGATTAATTTTTGTTTCGTCTAGTTGGTGTAACTTAATATGTCCTTTTTTAGCAAAGGTCATGCCGAATTTTTATATTTTCCATATTCTTAGATCGAATAGTAATCTATTACGTTATGTATGTATGTTGCAGGTTTTGGCATCGAATGATGGATCGTAGTTGGATGTACTCCATACCACGGGCGTCCAATGATTTTGTTAATGGTTTGATGGAGTTCTTATAGTTTGCAGACGAATATGTTAGGAAAAGGGATTCGGAGAAAAATATGGTGTACATGTGTTGTTTGCTAGAATGATGTTATGTACACAATTGAATCAAGAGAGTTGCATAAGCACTTGTTGGCTAGTGGTTTCATGCCCAGTTATACGACATGGAAAAGTCATGGTTAGGATGGGATGTCATGTGAAGGAGCGGAAGATGATGAGGAACAAGAATGGATGATGGATGGACATGCTGAACAATCTGACGGTGATGAAGATGACGAGTCCGGTGAAGAGTCTGACGAAACTAAGGAGGCCAAAGCGGAGGAGGCAATCATCTGGGGCAATTTGGCGGGAATGGTGCATGACCAATACATGCAAGAGTTGATCATGAAAGAGACTAGCACTGAGACAGCTTCTTGTACAGAGGCTACCAAACTAGCGACTCTCGTGAAGAACTCAACAACTACTTTTTACGATGGTAGCAAGGCAAAACACCTGACTAAGTGTCACGATGAATCTTATGGACATTAAGGCACAAAGCAATAGTACGGACACTTCCGTTGATATGAAATTGAAGTATTTGCATGATGATCTGCCTAAAGGCAATGTGTTGCCAAACAATAATAATGAGGCACAAAAGGTATTGTGTCCTTCTGATATGGAGACGATAAAATACCATGCGTGCAAAAATGACTGTGTCATTTAGTACCCCAACCTAATGAGGTGTCGAACATGCAATTTTCTCCGATTCGAGTGGGGAAATAACAGTCGAGAAGACAAACAAGAAATGATAGGATTCAAAAATGACAATGATGATGACAAAGCACCCGCTAGCGTACTCCTTATAAGGTTCTGTGGTACTTTCCAATCATTCCACGCCTGAAGCATTTGTATACAAACAAGAAGCAGGCAAAGCTTATGCTTTGGCATTCTAAGAGGAAGAAGGATGACGAAGTGATTAAAGACGCTGCAGATGGTCGGCAGTGGAAAGAAATCGATGACGAGTTCCCTCATTTCAGTGGAGATGATAGGAATGTCAGGCTGAGCTAAAGCATGGACGGTAATTCGGGTCAGGTTTGCCACGGGAACTACGCATGTGTTAGGTGCATGGATGAAACTCATTCTCTATATGTTAGGGCCTCTCATAAAACAGTTTACATGGGACAAAGAAGATGGCTGAATAAAAATGATGAATGGAGAAACTGAGAAGATTTGTTTGATAACACAAAAGAAAAGCGAGGGAAGCCACGCAAGAGGAGTGGAATAGAAATCCTAGAAATGTTGAACAACTGGCAAGAGTGTCCAGAGCTTGGAAAAAAACTGAAGAGAGTGGAGCCACTCTTAAAAGTATGGAAAACGTGGAGTCCATTTTGGGACTTGAAATATTGGAAGTTTTTCTCCACGCCGCATTGTATTGATGTCATGCATATCGCGAAGAATGTTTGCAAGAGTTTGGTTGCTACCATTTTAAACATCCCAGATAAGACAAAAGATACGGGGAGCTCAAGAAAAGACCTAGAAGCACTTGAAATTAGGTAGGTTTGTGGGCTGACGTGCAGGAAAACGACGTTGGCAAGGCTAAGAAAACAGTGTCAAAATTCAAACCCACTTGGGACGAAGTCACATGACGAGGAGTATGACCAATTCGACGACTACCCCGCAGAAGAAGAATGGGGCACATTTGCACTACAAGTGGACTACAAGTGGCACATTTGGCACCGCCATTTAACCACTTATTCTTTGCAGATGATAGCCTGATGTTTTCAGGGAAAATGGAGTGGGAGTATCAGGGGTGCACCAGTTGTTGGCCATCTATTATCAAGCTACAGGTCAAGGAATCAACTATGAAAAATCTTCAATATTTTTCAATAAAGCAGTTCCTGAAAATGTAAGGGTGGAAATCAAAGGCTTGCTAAATGTCCCCACAAAACCTTGAGCAAAAAATATTGAGGGATGCCATCGGATGTGGGCTCTTCTAAAAATGGTGCTTTCAAGTATCTCAAAGACCATTTATGGAGCAAGGTACAAGGATGGATAGAGAAAACCATGGCAATAACAGGAAAAGAGGTACTTGTCAAAGCAGTCGCACAAGAGGTTCCTGTCTACTCCATGTCTTGTTTCAAACTTTCTAGAGATTTGTGTGAACACTTAAACATGCTGATTCGCAAGAGCACATGAAGCAACCAAAGGATATGGGAGGCCTGGGTTTTAAGGATTTTGAGCTGTTTAACTTAGCCCTGCTTGCTAGGTAGGCTTGGCGGATACTGCAGAACCTAGAATCTTTTAGTTCTCGCATACTCAAGGGTGTCTACTTCCCCACAACAACAATACTTGAGCAGTGCTCGGAGGTCATCCAAGCCAAATATGAAGGGCTATTGTCGAAGGAAGGGACATTCTGAAACAAGGCTTGATACGCAGAATTGATGGTGGCTCAACCACCAACATATGGAATGATAATTGGTTGCCTAGGGACGAGATGACGCGACTGTATGGATGTTTGGTAAATAACCCTCATCAAACCGTATCAGAATTGATTGACTCGACCATGGCTAGTTGGGACATGCATCGCATCCAGAAGATAATGCTTCCCATTTATATCCCATCCGTTACCAACATACCGCTCTGTACCAGAGTTGTCTTAGACATTTGGTCTTGGAACTATGAGAAAAAACGGTCATTTCTTGGTCCGGTCAGCTTACAAAATGCTAGTCACGACAAAACAGCGGCGCGAGGACTGGCTTGAAGGAACATCAGGGACATCCAGCACAGCGCAGGAGGTGGAGCAGCGAGCTGCCTTGTTCACATCCGTCGGTCTCGGCGGGTCACCCAGCCGGTTTTTATGTCGAAGAACTGCTCTTCTTGCTCATCGGAGTGGTGCAATTTTTGCCCGGTGTCTGGCCTCGTTTAAATAGAGGGTGGACGGATGGAGCTTGCTCAGAGTTGCGTTTAATGCCGGCCCGCTCGTGAATGAGCGTGTGAACGGAGTAGGTTTTTCGGCCT